GACTTGATACCAAGTGCTTCAAGATGTATTATCTTTCAGGTGCCCCAGAAGTCATGACCTCACGTTGCGCATGTAAATGGTAATGCGTCAAGAATGGCAAAGGAGAAATGGTCAGGCTAATGCGGCCAAGGACTCGTCCTGCGAGGATTCATGGACGTTGTGGCCTTTGACGCGGGAGCCTTCTCAGGAACAACCAGGATGTCAAGTCAGCGCCCATTGGCCAGTGAAGGCGTATGCAATCCTGACTGGATAATTGCGTGTATGGACATAGACAAGGCATTCCTGGAGGGCCTCACATTCCGCGAGCTTGCCGAAGCCACTGGATAGTGGGGACGCATCGCATACCTTGCACTGCCACCTGGGTCAGCAGCCGTGCAAGGGATTCTTCCTGGGCTTGAGAAATACGACGAGAGTCGACGCTGTTTGCTGACGCCAGGCGCTGGGGCGAAGGACGCTCTGCGCGCCTTCCCCCTAAAGCTTCGCGACGTCACGCGAGGCATCGGCCTGCGAGCCACGTCTCGCGACGAGCGGCATGAAACCGCGGAGACACTACTGACGGCCAAACGCGTAGACGTCATCAACATGGTTGAAAAGGAGAAAATTACCGATCGCCACGCGAAATGCGTCGGAAACACTTTCGGCGCGCGCAAACCTGACGGGCCCGCGCCAGCTGCGCCGTCAGATGCGCCGTCACATATACGAAGAACGAAAAGTGAGACGTCGCGTTAGATCACGACGAATATATCAAACAGCTTCGCCCCGATCAACGCCCCGGCCTTACGGGCGCGGGGGCCGGGGGGAACGCGACGAAGCTTGCCGCGGACAAGTTCGTTAGCCTCAGTGGAGCATTAGCGCGTGCTCTTCGTGTGACCCAGGCTTGGCCGATGGCATGCGTTGTCTCTTTGCAGCGGGCACGGGAACCCACTGACATCCAGGTGCGACGGCTGAATGCAATTTCGCGGAAACTGCAGAGCCCCGACTATGAATCCAATCGGGGAAGTCGACCTGCGCAGCGACTCCGGCCATCCACGATTGACCGGGGCGTTGAGGGCGGGATAAAGGGCCATGGCGTTAGAGGTGCCAGCCTTCTGCGGCGTGGGCAAGCGCAGTGGTAAACCCGTCGCGCACTTGATAGATGCCCAGCGCAAGTCGCATCGACTGCACGTAAGGGCAAGCTACTCTGCGGAGACGCTTGCAGCAGCCCATAACTTAGAGGAGTGCTACCCGACCACTGTTACCCTACATGAGCTAAAGGCGGGCCGCTTACGCCAGCGCAACTCGAACATGCACCTGAAATTGGCGGTCTCTGCATCAAAGCAACCCTCGCGATTGATGCTGAGTCGGCATTCAAATCCTGGTCCAGCAATGACCTTAAGAAGCTGACGCGCTGTACATTGTCGAGACACATTAGCTGGATAAGACTGCTGATTGGCAGACGTATCATGCGCAGCATACAGTGGTGACGCACGGGATATGAGTGCCGTCGGGTAACCAAAGCGAGTCTATAACGGGACTTGTCATTGCAAAGAACGGCGGGAACGCAATCTTCTAAGCACGGAAGCGCGGAATTACTTACACCCCTTACAGGGCTCCGACATGGAAGATTGAGCCCAGCCCGTAACGAGCCGGCGGAATGATTTCATTTGGCGTGGAGACACGCGGTGGGGCAAGCCTGTTTTTCTTTTTTTGCATTATGCCTGTAATTTTTTTCTCATTTGCGCTCTCTGCGCCTTTGGGTCCTTGCCATGCGGACACCGCAGGGCTGCCGCTGGCGCTTGGCCAAGCCAGCCCCTGCTGTCACTTTGCGGCTCGATCCTACCAGATCGTGCCCGCCACCTCTTCGCAGTTCCAGCCTGGCGTTGGCCGGCTGGACATGACTCGTGTTGACACGAGCTCTCGCGCGTTATTCTCCGGAAAGTGTAGCCTGGTTTTGCGGCTCGTTTTGTTGCCCCCCCCCCGAATCTGAAAAAGGTTACAGAGGGTAGGTGTATATAACGAGCGTAGCGAGCGTGCCGTCGGCGTCAGGCTCAAGACGCTGGCGCCCAATTTGCCTAGATTGACCGTGGATACGGTAATTTTTGATCGTACGAAAGACAAGATTTGATCAATCTTGTGGATGGTACATCATGTCATCTACCTTTTCAACCTATTACCACATGGTATTCATCCTGTTTTTTGCTGTTCCTGCTGCGGCTGCTGCTGCTGCTCCTCGTCGTACATCCCTCGTGCGACTTGCCAGGACGAATCGTTTATTATCCTCCCGAGACCTCGAAGTTTATTCTCCCTCGGGTGTTATTCCCAGGGGGGTAGGGTTTAATTCGACCCCCCCCAAGAGGCCAAAAAAGGTCCCAGACCTAAGGTCCATATATGATGTTTGCCTTCTCGCCGAGGCCGTTGTGGACGCTCAAACGATCCTCCGCCCCCCTCCCGCTCCAGGTCCAAGGCGGGTATGGGGGAAGGATCAGCCCAGGCTGGTGGGACTATGGAATAATATGCGGTGGGCGAGGATGACGGCGAGGATGAGGTTGAGGATAATGAGGGGGACGATGGAGGGTCCGAGAAGCATGAGGATGATCATGCTCATGCATAGGGTCAGGATGATTATGAGGAAGGATGAGGAAGAACTGCGGGGGAGTAGGGGGACGATGCCAATGAGGATGAGGAGGGGCAGCGGCAACGCGACGAGGCGGCGGCAGTAGCACCAGAAGCAAGGGTTGAAGTTTCCTCTGCTCCCATCTTCTGACAGGCGGTGCCCAACCCGGCGATGGCTGGTTTCCGCCCAGGGGCCTCGTCCCAGCATGCCCTCACGGCAGGCGCCCAAGACCTTCAGTCGTTCCAGCCGCAATCACCTCGACCCCCGCATGCTATTGTTGCTCCATTTGTCCCTTAAGTCTGTCCCTTTCTCTCTCTCTCTCTCTCTCGCTCTCTCTCTCTCTCTCTCTCTTTCTTTGTTTTCTCGCTGTCTCTCTCTCTCTCTCTCTCTTTCTCTATATCTCTCCATATCTCTCTCTCTCTCTGAACTCCCTTTCTCCCTCATCGCACACTTGTGGCGCCCAACACCCGGATAGCGAAGCAGTCCACAGAGCGTGGAAAATCTTGTGGAGACGGCTGCAAGGACGTTTGAAAGGATGTCTGGGGAGTTTGCAAGCTCGAGAAAGGATCTTCGCAGGAGTCCAGGAAGAGCCTCGACGGAACTGCGGAAAAGGCTTCCCGGAAGCGTGTTGGGAACGAGAGTAGCAGAACACTGTCCGTTTGCAAGGCGTAGCGTGTCGCTGGGGCCGCAGCCGCGACACGCTAAGCAAAAGTTCTCGACCGTTAACATAGCCCAACACCGTTCCAGTATCTCCGGCGTCTCCCGAGACGCCCCAAGAGCAGACCAGGAAAGCGTCCACGAGGTCCCAGGCCAAACTCATTGACTTGTCAAGGTTCTTTTCAATGATTGAAGCATTGCCGTTTTTCGGGCTTAAGGGTGTCCTTGACGGCCCAATGAACTTCCAATATCGCCCCCAGACGGTCTCAAATGGCCCCGCGAGGGCTTCCAGCTGACCGCGAGATTGCCCCAGAGGGATCCAGATCGGCCCAAGAGGGCAATGGGACATCCCAAGAGGGCGCCAAAAGGGCTCCAGGAGTACCCCGAGACCCCCAAGACGGCTTCGAGGGGCCCCAGGCGGCCCGAAAGGTTCCCAAGACATCCAAAGAGGGTGCCAAGATGGCTAAGAAGAGCCCCAGGAGGCCCCCAAGAAAGCCCAAGAGGGCCCCCCCCAACAGGCCCAAACGGGCCCTCATAACTCAACTACAGTCGAATGAGTTTTCACGGGTAATCGACTACGTGTTTGCTGCGTCTCCATTACTTTGCTTTCATGTCCTCCGCCTACTCCTGCTTACCTTTCTCTCATCTTGATTCTTCGTTTTTCCCCTTCGCATTCTCATCGCTCCCATTCCTGCAGATTCTTCCCTTGTCTCCTCCTCACTCTTCCGCGGAAGCCCGCGCAAGTACAGGCGAGGGCGGCGGTACCGGCGGTAGTTGCCGCAAGCTCGGCGGACGCCGCTGGAAGCAACCGCTGGCATCGGGGATGCCTTCAGCCGAGCTCGCCACATAGATCGTTTTACGATTTGAGAGCGCCAAGAGGTCCCACGAGAAGCCCAGGGTATCTCTCTAACGGCCCCAAAGGGATTTGAGACGCCTCCATGACTGTGAAGATACCCTCAGGATGCGACATGATGTCTCCAAGAGTGCTGAACAGGCTTGCCAGTTCCAGAGGCCTGGCGAGGGCCCCAGGTGGACGCTCCAGAGGCCCTCGACTGGCAAAATCATTTTTCCAAATTCAAAAATCATTTCAATGATTTTAGGTTTCTCAGCACTTTCAGACTGAGAGGCGTCCACGACGGTCCAGGATGCCTCCAAGGTCACCCCGTCCGCGAGGGCCCCAGAGATTTCCAAACTCGCCCGAGGATGACCCATACGAGCTCGGGGAAGGGGAGGCCAGGGACAGCGGGAGGAGGCGGACGGGGAAGATTGCAGAGGAAGAGGCTCGAGTGTGAAGCAGGATGAGGAGGGCTTCCAGGCGGGGATGGAGGAGTGAGGGGGGGCCGCAAGGGGCGGCAGAAGCGGGGGGCGAGCCTGGATGGGTAAGGAACAAGGGGGGCGCAAGGAAACAGCGTCGGGCTTCGTTTTCTGGGTCGTTGGCGACGCGCCGTAGCCGATGCGCGGCGGATTTGGGTCGCGGCCTTCCAGGCGAAGCATCCCCCGCGCGATGGGAAGCGGTTTGATTGCAGTGGTCCGCGCGACCCTGCGAAAGAACAAGTTTTTGGATTCATCCGTTCTGCACGCGGGCGTGAGCTGACAACGCCGTCTGGTTCGTTGATGGGGTTGCGGATTGGGTTGCAGACAAAAACTTTGGAGCCGACGCAGATCGAGCCTCCGAGGGGGGCGTCGGGCGCTGGCCTCTGCGAGGCGACGGGGCGCGCTGGGGGCGGCGCTTCTGCGTGCGCCCGACGGCCTCGTAGTGCTTCAGGTCAACGCCGCCGAACCTCACGTGACGCTCAACCGCGGAGTAGCCGGGCGGAGGCTGGGCGCCAGTGCCCAAGGTCGCGTCGTCTGGAGCGGCGCTGGGAGCCTCCGCAGTGCGGGCGTCGGCGCTGGACGGCGCGGGGTCAGCAGGGCCTCTGCGTTGGCGCCGCCTTGGTGGGGCGTCTTTAGTGCGGCTGCGGTGCCGTCGGGGTCGAGGGGCTTTGCCGCCGTCAGTGGCACGTCGCGCGGCGCTGGGTCGCTGAGAGTGTGGTGCGTGAGGGCGGCCTCGTCAGTGAGAGTGTCGGCGGCGTCATCCTTTTGACAGCCGTCGGAAGCAACGGCGCTGGTGGCGAGGGTTGGGACGTCGGCACCGGAACCGCTCGGTGCACGGGCGACGTCCGCGCCGAGGGTCGCCGTGATGGCCGCGTTAGCGGTGGTGGCCCAATCGCCGGGGGGTTGGGGTCGGCGGCGGTGTCGAGGGCAGCGTCGGCGTTGGCGGCGCGGAGCGCTGTTGTGTCGTCGGCGCTGTGAGACGGAGTGTGCGACAAAGTTGCTCCGGCGCCCTTGCTGGATGGGTGCGCCTCCGCGGTGTTGCCGTCTGCGCGGGGGGGGGCGCCGCGTCGCGTCGGCGGCAGCGCTGGGCTCGCCTGCGGTTGGCCGCGCTGGCAGAGCCCGGCGACCGCTCCGCAGCATCCGCCGCTGCAAGGCGTTGGGCTCCCGCGCTGATCCTGTCGAAGGCGCGGCGCCGCGAGCGAGCGTCGTCGTCGCCTACGTCGTCGTCGTCCTCCTCTTCCCGGGCGCGGGGGTGGTCGGGGGCGGTGGCCGCGTCGCGGGCGGAGGCCGTGACGCCTGAGGCAGGCCTCGCGCCGTCGGTGGCGGCGCCAGCGCCGGAGGGGCCAGGGGCGGCCGCCAGGTCGAGGGGGGCGGCGGCGGCAGCGTTGGGGGCCCCAGCTGGGACGGCGGAGGTGCTCTGCGGCAGGGTTGCGGCGTTCACCCCCTGGGGGGCTTGGCCGCAGCGGGGCCGCCGCCGTGGTGCGGAGAGGCGGTGTGGAGAGGCGGTCCTCCACTCAGCGAGCGGGCGTCGCTGCCGCCGTCGTTATCGTCGTCGTCGTCCTCCTCCTCCTCCTCGGGTCGGAGGGGGACAGGAGTGGACTGAGCCGCTCCTGCCGTGCCCGTGGTGACGCAGTGCCTCGGCGCCGCTGGAGGGGGCGACGCCGCGCGGCCGTCGGAGCCGCATGGCCCGGCGCCTGGCTGCAGGGCGGCCTTCGCCTCCTTCTCTAACTCATCCTCCGACGTGGCGGGGGCGAGGGGGGGAGGGCAAAGGGCGGAACCCGACGCGGCGAGGGGCTGAGCCTGCCGCCGTCGCGCACGGGCCTGGGCCTGCCGGAAACCCGTCAGGCTGGCCTCCTGGAAGTAGAGCATGAAGAACATCCTGACGCTCGTCAGGGTGATGATCCACAATACAACAGGAAGTACAGCTCGTCCCGAAGTCGTGCCAGTGTGAATAGCTTGTAGATTGTAGATCTTGTGCTTGACCCGGGGGGTCTTGGATATGGGAGGCCTCGACGTGGCCGCCGCTCCAGTCGAACGCGAGAGGGCAGCGGCGCGCGCCGTGGCGGCATCTTGTAGAAGATAATGAAGATGATGACGCACTTCAGCCACAGCGGGAAACGTACTGCTTATGGCCGCGCCATGAAAAGACGCGGAAGGCACATGCTTCTGAGGGTGGCTCGTCGGGGGTCTCCTGCAATCAAGGAAAGCTCGAGCCCGCAGCTAGAGAGAGAGAGAGAGACACAAAGAAAAACATAAGTATCTATATATATATGTATATATATATACACCTATGATATGATATAGCTATTTGATATTTACAGATGCAGAGGGACAGAGACATACATAGAGAGATATAGAGAGAAACAACAGAGAGAGAGAGAGAGAGAGAAAGAGAGAAAGAGAGAGAGAGACAGAGAGAGAAAAAGAGAAAAGAGAGACACAGCGAAAGAGAGAGAGAGAGAGAGAACACGCCTGGTCACCCCTCTGGCTCCACGCAAGCGGCACCCTCCTTGATTGCTGGGTCGTGATGTGATATGTTGCTCACTGCCGTGTGAAGCGCGTCTGCAAATCTTTCGATTCTTCCCCTCCTTCTCAGCACGCCCTTCCTGCTCGCCTTTGCCACGCGTGCCGTTGAGCACTTCTGGCGAGCAGACGCGCTGCGAGCCAGTGCGAGACAGACGCGTGATCGACGGTCCAGAGACGCGCGCTGGGCGGATGAACCAGCCTGGTGCAAAGCGAAGAAGAGAGTGGCCGCCGAAGGAGGGCCCAATTAGCATGCGCGCGCCAGGGCCAACGCTCGCGGGCGGCACCATCGCACCTCGCAAGGGGGGCGTGTTCCCGCGAGGCAGGCTCCCGTTCCCACTCCGAGGGCGAGTGCATACCGCGTTGAGGGTCCTGTCAGATCTCTTGGGCTTGCGCTGGACACCGTGGCGGCGCCTTCGGTGGCCCTGGCGCGCTCCGCGCGCCAGGGAGGGTGAGAGCCTGCCACGCATGGAATGAATTCAACAATCTTGCAGTCGGTTGGTTGGCCGTGGCGAGGCGACTTTGATGTCCACCCATAGGACCGCTATCATGCGGATCCGTGTCCGAGCCGCGTTGAAGAAAATCTTGAGTCCGAAGGCCTATGATGGTCATTCTTACCACCACAAGCCTTCCTGATGGTCTCGAATTGGTTCAGCAGTGCCTATGATGGCCTCTCTCTGCCCACCCCGTCCCGCTCGCAGGGGCTTCGCATTCCCTTCATGATGGTGGGAATGGTGACCCCCGAAAGAATCCGCGCGGCCCTCCGACATTTCATGTTTTAGCAGCGGCAGGGCAGCATCTTCTGGCTGTGCGGGTGCAGCGCGCACCCTGCGGAGCGACGTGGCCGCGCGCCAGATGGGGCAGCGTGCTGCCAACCTTTCAGCTTTCAGCGGCTGCGGGCACGGCGGACGGACACTTCAAGAGGGATTGCCAGAACCAGCGGAAAGTGGGGATGATGTCGGGGGGCCTGGCGAACCAATCGTCGCCCGCCGTGCTCAAGGGCAACACTATATGGGGGGATAGGCTCAGGGGGGGATGCATCGACCCCTCAATCGCCCATTCATTGCTGGTAGCCCATCTCGCCCAGGAACGCGTGGATTCGCTGTCGGGAACCTGTCGCCGATCTATCGGCCATGCATCGCCGATTCTAGGGCAATGTCTCCGCCCCTGAGCCGGGCCGCCGAGCGTCCGAACTACTGCCCAGGCGTTCGAAGCTGAGCGGGCCCAATTCTCAATTCTCAATCAGTTATCAATTTGGCGGCCCAGGCATGTTCCCAATTTTCAATTCTGCTGCATTTCACACTGGTTGTCTTGCTGGGAGACTGATAGTTTACCCATGCCCTGCACAGGGCCGAGCAGCCGACAGGCTCGCGGCCCAGAGAGTTCCCGATCCTTCCCCGGGGGTAGTTTTGCATCCCGGATCCGGTTTTGATGGCCCCGGGGCCCGAAAGCGCCCCCCTGGGGCCGAAGTGGAGGAGAAGCCGCTGATGCAAAAGTCATATCGTCGGAGGCCTGGGCTCATGAACGGCACTCCTTGGACGGACCACGAGCCCCCTCTTAGGGCCGTCTTGAGGCCCTCTTGAGCCGTCATGGGCTCCTCTTGGGTCGTCTTGGGGCCTTCTTGGGCCGTCTTGAGGCCTTTTGTGGCCGTCTTGGGGCCCTCTTGGGGGTCTCTGAGGCCGTCTTGGGCGGTCTTGGGGGCCGCTTGGGACGACTTGGAGCGTTGGAAGTTCGAAACACCTAGCAAATACATGACTTTGGCCTTTCGGGGCCCTCTTGGGAAGGCTCCTGGGGCTCTCTTGGAGCGTCTCGAAGGCTTCTTCGGCCGTCTTGGGGCCATCTGGGGCCTCTTGAGAAGCTTTGGGGCCGTCTCGGAGGCCTCTTGGACCCTCCTGGGACTTCCTCAGGGCTGTCTTGGCCCGTTGTGGGTCCTCCCTGGTTCGGGGCACGTCCTGGAGGCCTACGCGGACACCCTGAGAGCGCACGGCCGCGCCCAAGAGCGCTCAAGAGCACCCGGGAATGTCGTGGTCCATGCCTTGAAAAAACCTTGTGAACTTTCCAGAACTGCATGAGCTCTCACAGCTGCATGAGCCTGAGGGCACTCCACTACGCACTACGCGCTGAAGGCATGGTGGCGGATTTTCATTGCGGGGGGCGGCCCATTCGAAGACCACCGTCTGAGAATACGTATTCGGTCGTGCCTCATCGCCGCGAAATAAAACGTGACTGTTGCGTCCTCACAACCCCGAATCATGCCAGGACACCGTTCATGGGACCTCAACCATACGAACCTATGACATGAAACTGCCAAACGTTTAATTAAGACGAATGTGCGCGGCGCTAAGGTGAGAGCCACAATTTAAAGAAGGAGCTGCCCTCCATCCTCGAAGCAGTTGCAAGCTGTTTGAAACGAATGTGCGCGGCGCCACGGCGAGAGCCACACGTCGAAAACGACCCGCCCTCCATCCGTGAAGCTGCTGCGAACTCTTAAGACGACTGCGTGGGGCGCTGAGGCGAAAACCACATTTTGAAGACGACCCTCCCTCCGTCCGTTAATTGCAATTTTTTAATACGAGTGTGAGCGGCGCGTCGACAAATCGAGAGCCACATTTCGGAAACGACCCGCCGTCCATTCTTGGCACTATTGCACCTTCCGAGCTTCCCGATCATACTCTGTGAAGGAGTCTGGGGCGAAATGCCCAGCGCGCCCTACGTGCGATATGGAAGATTGTCGATGGATCTTCTTACTCGCGGCCTCGCGAGGGGCGTAGCTCTAAGGCCAAGGGCCCTAGTTCGAAATAAAACGGCAGCGGTGGGCAAGGGATGCAACACAAAACCCTTCGGGAGTGAGCTTGAATCACGCTCCTCCTAGTCGCCGTCTCGGTCGGTCGTGGCCTCTGACAGGCCTGAGCGGGGACTATAGCAATCAAGTCACTCGCCGGCAAAAACCAAGAAGATAAGAAAGCAAACGGCTTGCATTGTATAACACAGCGTACAAGGTATATTCAGCAATGGCCAGGGTTCGATCGCGATGCGACAAAACCCCAATGGAATCTAGCCATCTTCTCAAGATACTAGGTGTGATCGTCATCACAACATAAAACTGTGCGCACCGAAACGAATGAAGCTTCCAAAAAACACTCGGCGGTATTACGTGTGGATCTTTATCCGGGTGTAAAAGCTGCGATTCGGAATACATAAATCTTGACCGGGCGTATGGTATTGACAACGATGCGGAATACATTAATCTTGACCGGGCGTATAGTATAGGCAGTAGAACATGTCCGGTCTGATCGGCCAAAC